GATCTGATACTCTCTGTTAGCATCTGTAGGCAGCAGGAACACACATGTTTACAGACATACACACAGACAAAATACCCACACTCAATAAATAAATAAAACTCCTTTAAAAGACCTGATATTTTCATACACGACAAGGAAAAATAGGATCTCTGAATTACTTAGAAAAAGAACACAAAATATTTATTCTTTAATCCTAAATGATGGAAAATGCTTGCCTTGATAGGGAAGTATTCAGAAGGTGGCTTGTTGAAGCCCCCAGGCACACTGCAGTACTCTGTGGGGTAGATTAGTGTGGTAGAACGAAGAAGATGATGCAGAAGGTTGCAAGACAGTGTGTAGCCCTGCTTACAGGTCAGGTGTAGGGTTCGATGGAGAATCTTCACAAGCTGCTCCCTGTACAGAAGCAACTTCTTCCCATCCACACGAGTAATCTGAAAAGACAGAAAAAAATACTCAAAGGCAGCGGTGGCATGCACCTTTAATCCCACAGTCTCTGGAGGTACACGTAGGTATTTGTGAGTTCTAGGTCAGCCTGGTCTACAGATAGAGTTCCATCCAGGACAGACAAACAAACAAACAAACAAACAAACAAACAAAAAACCAGAAAACAAAAAACAACCAATCAAAGACCAAACAAACAGAAAAAAAAACAAACAAAAACCAAAACAAACAAACAAACAAAAAAACCCTTGAAGGCACTTGGTTTTAAGTCTAGAATCAATAATCAATTCAAGGTTCAATATATGATATTACAGTAGCTTAAAAAATGTTTCTATAAATGACTTTAAATTATTTTAGAAATGTCATTTTTAAATATACCTTAACAATTTTAAAAATCAAACCACATGTTCTAACCTTATGCCATGACAACATCCCTTTCAAAAAGATTAATGTATCTTTTTAAACAGTACGTATTTAAATTCCTAAACTATCTCATAATGAAAAATCAAGTTTGACAAGCAATCAAATTTTTAATGTAAAAGATTTCTAAGTCAGGTATGGTGGTACACACGCCAATCCAAGCACTCCAGAGGGAAAGTCAGGCCGATCTCTGTGAGTCCGAGGCCAGTCTGGGCTATACAGTGACAACCCGTGCTGCCCATACAAACAAACAATGAGCTGGGCATGGTGGTTCAAAACTTTAATCCCAGCACTCGGGGGAAGAGGCACGAGGGTTTCTGTGAGTTTGAGGTCAGCCTGAGCTATAGAATGAGTTCCAGAACAGCCAGAGCTACACAGAGAAACTGCGTCTTGAAAAGCAAAACAAAGTAACAAAAATCCATAAAAATAAAATGAACACACAAAAAAATTTGAAATCTGATAACCACCTAACTAATAAGTTATTTATCTTTTAATAGAAAAGTGGACTGGAAACATTCCCATCTCATTTCACAATAATAGACGTCTGGGACTGCCGATGCATGCCTGTAATCCCAGCACTCAGGAATGTGAGAAAGATAACCATGAGTTCCAGACTGGTGTGGGAAATATAATGAGACCTAATATCATTAAAATAACAAGTCCCCAAATATCTGGCTTTTCATATGCTTTAATATCAATCTAACAAAAAAAAAAAAAAAAAAAAAAAAAAGACTAAACTCTGGAAGCAAGCAAACACTTCCTCCCAGATGATTACCGTACCTCAGACAGAAGCTGAAGGCTCCACAGTAACTCCTTGTCTAGCTCTTCTTCTTTCAAAACATCATCATCTAAACGGCAAAATAGCACCAGAGAAGAACCATGAGCCCACTGCATATTTCATGTTAAAATATTTCTATTCTACATTCCTAGTATTTCAGAAAAATCTTTCAGGGAGACTTAAGTCTTCATAACAGTGAAGTCACAAAATCAATTTTTAAGAAAATCACCAGGCGGTGGCAGCACAAACCTTTAATCCTGGCATTTGGGAGGCAGAGAGAGATGGATCTCTTGAGTTCCAGGATAGCCAGGGCTACACAGAGAGACATTTTCTAAAAACAAACAGATAACAAATAAAAATACAAATACTACATGAAGAATCTGTGGATATTAACTGAGTTCTAGGAGAGAAGAAAAACTATACCTAAAATTACACAGAATAATGAGGTTTTCCTTTTTCTGACTTACTCGTTGTAAGCTGAGTTATAACACCGTAGCAGTGGGGCACAAAGAGCTTCAGAGATTCTTCTGGGCAGCACTGAAAATGTTTTGTACAAATAAGGTGTCATTTTTTTTCCTTTGGTAAAGTAAATACTCAACAGTCACAAAATATGAAGCAATACTATTCATTGGCAAGAGCAATGTGTCCTAGCAGCAAGTACTGATGAAATAACTAATCCCATGCCCATCACCTAAGAAGCTGGAAAGGAAGACAGAATGTTTGAGGCCAACCTGGGTTACAAAGCAAGACACAGTATCAAAACAAAAAGCAAAACACAATGAAATTTACCTTTACAGCAGCACGGCACATGTCTGCCACCATGCGACCTGCAACTCTTGTTTCAAATATATGTGAAACAGAAAAGTTAAAGACCTTATGAAGGGCCACCTGTTGATACAGAAGATATGTAAACACACCATCAGTGTAATTAACCATCTTGTAGAACATTAAAGAAAATAATACTCAAACTATTCCAACAGTAACTAAGAATCATTGGTTATATTCAGGTCTAAATATAATCTCTGTGGAGGATTCTAACTTAAAACACTTGAGGGGGTTGATAAGATAGCCCTGCAGGTAAAGGTGATTACCACCTTCACATGAGTCTGATTCCCAGAACCTACACTGTAGAAAGAGTTAACAGACTGCCAAATGTGGTTCTCTGACCTTCACATGCACAGACCCACACACAGAAGGGAGGGAGAAAGGCAGGCAAAGAAGGAAAAAAGTTACACGACAAACAAACGAACACCATTTGAAGAGCAAAAGTTGGTTTGAAATAGAAATCCTATGTGCCATTACAGCAGGTGGAGCCAAATTAATCATCTTGATAGTTAAATACAACAGAACAGAAAATTTTGTGGTTTTCTTAAAATTTGTTATTCTGACAAGTATCAACTTTAAATTGTTTTATTTACTTTTTAAAGAATAGAAACATGACAAGAGTGGGGCATGTTTCATAATCCCAGCAAGTGCAGAACCTGAAACAAGAGGATCATTGTATACTGAGACTAGCCTTAGATACACAGCCAGCCCAGGATGCAGAACCAAGACCTATCACAAAAACAAACAAAAACCCAAAAAGACTTGAAGCAGTCCACTTAATATTTCAATGATGTAAAATATATTAACCTACATAAAGAAATGAATTAACAAATACCAAAAGTTAGAAATAAGTCTTGTCAAGAGATAGTTTATGTTCAATTCTTTAGATTCTTTATAGTCTCCTTTTGTTGCTGTTTTTGTGTTTTGCTTTTGTTTGAAACAAGGTCTCATGTGACCACACTGGCTTGCAAATGACCCTGAATTCTTGTATTTCCTACATTCTCCTCTCAAATGCTAGGACTAAAGCTAGGTGTACCAGCTCATGCCTTTGATTCCAGCATGGGAATTGGGGGGGGGGCGAGACAGGCAGGTCTGTTGAGTTCTAGGGTAGCCTGGTCTATATAGTGAGTTCCAGGAGAGCCAGAGATACATAGTGATCTGTCTCAAAAAGCAAAACAAATGTTAAGGTGACAGGTGTGTATTACTAAACTTAAACTATACTCACATATTCCTAGTAAGTATTACACACAAGTGTAGTATATCTTAGCTTTAATTCAGGACGATCATGTTTAATACTGATTAATCTCAAGTAAAGGAAGGAAGGAATGAAGTTGAAACGGAAATAGTCATTTTAAAAACTATATACCTTCCAGCACTGAGATTGAGGCCAGTCTGGTCTACTCAGTGAGTACAAGGACAGGCTCAAAAGAGAACCCGGTCTTGAAAAACCAAAAACAAACTCCATATACCTACAGGTATGAACCACTGTCAGGCAAATGGATGTTTATACTTTAGAAGGACATCACTTCTAATCCATAAGATTATTGTACTGAGGATAAATTATGTGATGGTATAATTTTCAATACTTCTCTCATTAATTACTTTATGAATTTTAGAAACGTAGTCAATGTCAGGCAAGTTGACACAACTGAGCACTTGAGGAATGTGGAAAGATGGCAAATTTAAGGCCAATCTGAGCAAATACCCACAGCTCCTAAAGGAAATTGTAACATCACGTTGTCCTCATCAACTGAGAAAATGATAATCCTCCTGCAGATGTTTCTCTTTATAGACACTATTTACTGTAACTCATTAACATTGATTCCAGATCAACAATAACTCACACATGTTCAGCTAGTACAACTCTTTATGCCTGGATCATTAGAACTCATGTATTACACTTCAGTTTTAAACTGCAGAGTCACAAAAGCTAAGTTTGAAAATGCAAAATACAAACTAAGTAGATCACTTTAAAGAACATTTGTGGCTGTAGATGGTCTGTGGAGAGGAATGCATGGCAATTAATAGAATCTTTTTAGCCCTTAGCACACACAATGATTTCTGTAAGCAAGTCTATCTGCAGACACTTGGCAATGGGGACCTAAAATGTTTTTTCAAACCTTCAGTTGAGAATAAAGGATGAACTGGCAATGTATATACACTTAAAGGAGCTGACACTCAATGCAAAAACATCACTTATACAAAACGATTGGAGTGCCTTTTTGTGGTAATGCTCTTACCATAAATATTTCTTTGGAACATTGTGTGAGGATTGTACTAAATGTGGAAGACAAGCCTAATTCAACCAAACTCTCCAAGTGAGTCATTTTCTCTGTTTCTGTTTCTTCCCTTGTTTGTTCCAATGTGCTACTTTCTATTAGTCCAAAACATCTAAAACATACAAATAAAGCATATTTTAGGAACAAAAAACAGGGGACAGTTAGGTAAACCTTTATTATTACTACTCAATTTCTTCATGACTCATACACCCCCTCTCTCTGTCTCTCTCTCCCTCCCTCTCTCCCCCCCCAACCAGTTTCTAGGAAAGATCCACCCTCTTAAATCTATCAAAGAAAAGACAAGACTGAGTTATCAGCATACCTGTCCATAAACTGTAAGACGAAATCTTCAAATTCAGCTGTGGCCGAACAAAGTTCTTTTTCGATCTATAACATTGCAATGTGCAAAAAAAATTACAAATATGTTTTAACTTTTTTCCTTCTGAACTAATAAAATTCAATTATGGCCTAATAAAAAATTCTTGCGCAAGTTTTTTGTTTTGGATACTATGATAAACATGAAAACTAGATATATTAAGTCAAAGCCACTTCGCTACCTTATATGAATCAAGGCAACCAGCTTTGTTATCAATCCCAATTTTCAAAGAGCTTATAAAGCTGTAAAGGACAGTGTTACGCTACTACACTTATCTCACATATTCAAATGGTACAAGTAACAACATGCTTACAAAAAAGAAAAGATACTTGACAACCTCAGGACACTGCTTTCACAATGGAGGGTGGGGTAGGCTGGTGCTACTTAAATATGGACAACCTTCCCTAAGCAAGAATTATGAGAAACTATGTTAATCTTAGTTTCTATCAGCTATACAGAGTGATTCCTTGAGGTGATGATACATAGGACTTATCTGTACCTAGACAAGTCCTGGCAATGGAAAAGTATCTTTGCTAGGATCTTTCAGTAGGAACATGGGGAATTAGGCTTCTTCAGTCTCCCAGATTTAACTGGCATGTTGTTTTTGTGTGTGTGTGTGTGTGTGTGTGTGTGTGTGTGTGTGTGTGTGTGTGTGTGTGTGTGTGTGTGTAGTTAAAGGTTCTAACTTTAGTTTAAGTGCTATTCAATCGTTTTGAAATCATGTGTACACATGTGAATTTGACATACATGTGGAGGACAGAGGACAATTTTATAAAGTCACTTTTCATCGTCCATCTTTACGGATTCAAGGGATCCAATATTCACTAGGCTTGCTTAGCAGATGCTTTCCCAGCTAAGGTGTCTCACTGTCCAAGTATTCAGTTCCTATCTGTAACTCCTAAGACCACGAGCACAGAGTAAGTGATTTTTCTTTTCAGTAAACCTGTTATTCTATGCTTCTTAACAGTTCTTTGATAACCACAGCAATGAATGAAACCTCTGTTAAATGCCACTGGCCTTGGGAAAGGCTATTTTAAGCAGTGATGGATGGAAAAACAAGGCAGCACCACCTATGCTGAACAACCTTGTAAAAGTGACAACAAATTGAAATATACCAGCAGATCCAAGGAGAAACGGCCTGCTTACCACACTTCCTAGGGTGCGTGCTACAGCTATCTCACCACCAGGGATGGCATGGCTCCTTCCTAGTCATACCACCCCAGTCACAGAATAGCAATTGCAGTTAAAAAAAAAAAGCAAACAAAAACAAATTTATTTGTGATGGGGATTGACCCCGGCAAATACTGTACCACTTTTTATTTATGATTTCTACTCAATTTTTGAGACACAGTCTTGGTAATGTAATACAGACTTCTTAGTTTTCTGAGGACTGATTTTGCTAGTGTGAACCACTGCACCAGCTTCCCTATCCTTTAGTAATTGTACTCTCCAGAACTTATCTTTGAAGAATCAAAGGTAATTATAACACATTTTGGTTAAGCCTTTTACAGCCAGAAAGTATCCTTACTTCTGTGAGGTCATTTCTTTCTTGCAGTACGGATGAACAATCTACTAAAGGCACCAGAGTAGAAAATGTTCCTATAAATTGGAATGTGATCTATGGGAAGAGACAAAGAATTTTCAACATCATATAACTCTATTTCAGTACAAGTTATGCCAAAAGCTAAGTACAAATATGCAAATGATCTTAAGGGAGACCCCACACTAATCTTTCTAGATATTTTTCACTTGGAGTTAATTTTTGTCTTGGAATCTGGGGGAGCTAACTCAAACAAACCGACAACTCATGATGCAGCTAAGGATCAACACAAATTCATGGCTGTCTTCCTACCTCGGCCTCCCAGATGCTGTGACTATAGTAGTAAGCCACTATACCAAACTCTAAACATTTTAAAGCTCCTAATAATTAACTAGCTGTTACTTTAAGTGAAATTTATTCCCATTTTATATAAGAACTATATACATAGGACTCCAATCTTTTGTCTCCGAGAAGTTACTTGTCTTTTACCCGAAAATGTAACATTACAGGAAAATGCTAAAATGACAAAGAACAGGAAAAAACAAAGCAAAGTAGTAAGTTGGGAGAACATGTGTAGAAGTTGGAGACAGAATTATACATCCTATAATTGTACTGTTGTTGTTCTTGGAAGAAGGGCTTTTTTTAAAAATCTGAGACAGTCTCACTATGTAGCCCAGGCTAGTCTCAAGCTTGACTCAAGTCTCCCAAGTGCTTGGACTATGGGTGTCTACCACCATGCAGCTTCTTTATTCTGTAACTTTTTATCATTTTACCCATGTGGATAAATAAAAGGGCAACAGATCTGCCTGCAATTTATAGTATGTCTAAGATAATACACTGCAAATATATAATGAATTTTTAAAACATCATCATTAAACATACGTAAACGAAGGAAAATTACTTACAAAGCAAGGCATTATATAAATCAATTGTGCACAAATCTCAACTGAAGCATTTACAAATGTTACTGTGCCATAAGATTTGATATTGAGTTACATTATCATCTAAAGACCTCCAACTAAAGAGAAAAAAATGTTCATTTAAACAATAACTGCTACAAAACATAAAGGTCAATATGCTCACCATGCATTTACTAAAGTCATTTGGATCCACCCCAGGCAAAGCTCTCATCAACAGAGGTAGCATGTGTGTTGGACCTTCGGGAAACCATTTGCCACCTGATACCAAACTTCGGGCTACTCCAATTACACAACTTAAAGTAGCTGTGAGCTGGTGAGGTTCTGTTAATGTCTCTAAAGCAGGGTATGTTCTATAGTTTAAAAGAAAATACAGTTTAAATGTTAAATATACTAAGTTCACAGACTGCATTTTGACGTACAGTATTACAGATAGCAGAATGCTTAAGAGTTGAGATTTCCTATTAACATAAACAGAATTATATACATAAAGGAACAGTATAGATACTATTGCATAGTCTACAGGCCTGGCTCATTTTATCTTCATACAGATTTAAGGGAAAAAGAGCATAAACTGACACCTTCCTTGTTTCAGTCAACTTAATCCACACATCATACTTAACTAAGAATGACAAAAAATTCTACTCATTCCTGTTAGAAAAAAAAAATTCCCCCAAAAAATATTTTTCTTTTTGGGACTGACGGCTTTGTGTGTGCTAACAAAGCATTCTACCAACCCAGCCACGTCTCCCCCACCCTAATCTCCTGAGACAGGGTCTCATTGAAACTGGAGCTTGCTGATTTGTTACACTGGCCAAACACAAGTCACAAGGACCTTCCTGTCCTTGCCTTTCTGGAGCTGGTGTTATAGGTACCTATCTTTTTTAAGTGGATTTTTAGGAACTTTACCCAGAATTTCAAATATTTCCCTCAGAAAATCTACTTTGTAGGGGAGAAATATGCAAAGGCATCTTAATATTATGCAAATCATTAAATACTTTTAGATTTAATTATCTTTATTTATGTGTACAGGTGTTTTGCTCGCAGGTATGTTTGTTCAGCACGTGTATGCATGGTACCCAGGGGCCAGAAAAGAGAATTAAATCCCCCTGGAATTGGAGTAACAAAAGGTTGTGAGCTGGCAAGTGTGTGCTGGGAATAGCAGCAAGTGAGCATTTGTCCAACCGGAGAAAGACAAAATGAACAAGACAGTTTTTGTGTTCACACCTGAATTCCCAGCACTTAGGAATTCCAAGGTTTGGGGTAAGCCTGGGCTGTCAAATGAGACTCTGTCAGACAAAGGAAAGCATGAAGGGATTGCAGCTTAGTGGTAGAGTAGACATTTGTCTACACCTCAGGTTCAATCGTAAGCACAGGAAACAACCCCTGGACTAAAGTCTCACTATAAAAGATGCAGGAACAATACTTAACTCTTATTCTAAGAATGAAAAACTCTAAAATATTCTTATATTTCTACTTGCTTATTTAATTTTTGACAGAGACAGTCACTAAGTTGCCCAAGTTAACCTCAAAATCCTGAACTCAAGCCATTAATGTTTCTTAGCTTCCTGAGGAGCTGGAACCAAAACTACATACCAATATTACCACTTACTTTTTAATTTTTTTACATTTATTGTTTATGTGGTCTATAGTAAACCATAGAAGTCAGTTGTCTCCATCCACAATGTAGATTCCAGGAACTTATGTCATCTAGTTCGGTGACAAGGGCCTTTGAGTTATACTATCGACCCCTTACATTTAAAAAGAATTCTCAGGCTGGAGAGGTGGCTCAGTGGTTAAGAGAGCTTGCTACCCTTGCAGAAAACCAGAATTCAGTTTCCAACACTCACACCAGGCAGTCCATCATACCACTTGTAACTCCAACTCCAGAAAATCTAACACTCTCTTCTGCCTCTTTAGGTACTTGCAAGTCCATGCTCATGGACACACACAGATACACATATGCATATACATAAAAAAGTATTGTCTAGAAAAATTATGGGTTTTTGTCCTTTGCTTGTTTTGAGATATGGTTTCTTATTACATAACTGTGGCTTACCTTGAACCCACTATGTTAACCAGTAGAATGTTATTTTAGAAGGTAGTTTCAACATAAAAAGAAAGGAATGCAATATAATGACACTGAAGACATATTTTCATGTAGCATATGAAAATAATAAAGACAATGAATTTTTTCATTGGCTTTCTGTTCCATTCAATATTTATTGACATGTTTGATACAAACAAAAAAGTTTTCATTTATGAGTAAAAGCCTGGGTAAATGAAATAGACAAATGATCTAAAATAAGCTATCAGTTTCATTTTAATTTTTTCTTGTCAATAAGCCTTTAAATTACCAATTCAATCAAATTTAAAAAAATCTTGCTTCTCCTCTAAGAACAGGTGGATATATAAATATCAAACACACAAAACACATGCCACAGGCAGAAAAGGAGAACATAAGAAGGTAAACTATGCCTGAGGCATCTACCAAACATGCAAAGCTGAACTTACCTTTCAAGCACAGGGGGTATTACTAACTCAGGTCTCATGAGTGCAAGGTTCTGCAGAGCCTGGGCTGCTTCTAGACTACCAGTTTTGCTAAACATAGCCAAGAGGACAGGCTGAATAATGCACTGT